CAGCTCCATGACCAGCACGGGTGCAGACTACCCCCATCGCACAGCCTAGAATCCCAGAAAACCGCAACCCAGAATATGATCCCTCTATAGCTGTGCTGTAGTAGGACCCCCGTAGAATTGGAATGCAAAGCACTAGGATCCCTTTGTAGTCACAATGTCATGGGATCCTTTTATAGTTGTAGTGTAAGAGGATTTCTTGATACTTTAACGACCATGTCTGATTCTAGGCTTCCTGGGCGGATCAGCAGACTGTATCGAGTAGATACAAGGAGTTTTATGACGCCCGGGGGGGGACGAGAACAGGCATGGGTCGAAGCAGCAGCATGACGGGGAGGACTTGTCAAGTACTCACGACATGGGAGCACAGGTACATGCAGTTCGAGCAGCAGTTCCACTTAACTCTGCACCCAAAAGATGCTCCTCCTGACAGTCAGCGCCACGGGCTTCCGACGCACACGTCAACGTCGTCATGGTCGTGATCATCTTTACACAAGCATTGCCAACAAGGGACATCGTGACAGCCCGTGGGCCCAGTGTAGTCTCAAGCACACGCATGCTGCTCAGGATCAATGAGTTCCGACAGAGCACCATGAACAAGGCCTTCGAGTTCCGACAGGGCACCGTGCACAAGGCCATTCCCGCTTTCCTGCGTGCATCTATTCAGCAACGTGTTGTCATGTAGAGTCGCTGACAGTATGTTCCGCTCCGGGATGTCAGCACCCGTCCAGCAAGTCCGCACACTCGGGGCATCGAGCCCGTTACATGCAGTAAGCATCGGAGTGTGGGAATGCGACTGCGTTTCAAAGAGACGGGAAGGTTTCCAACAGTGTGGATGCCGTGAAGGGCAAGGCAGTTGCATCTGCGCACCTTGGTCGGCAAACGCAAGTATACCGGTTGAGACTGGATGAACAGTCCCTCCTTGCCAGCAATGCAACAACCTGCGCCCACCTGAAACCCGAAACCCTCAACACCCTAAGCCCACAACCCTTGCGCCCTTAAACCCCGGCCCCGGACTCCTGAACCGCAATTCCCGAGACCCTAAGCCCTGAAGCTCCCAACCCTAAAGTGCCTAAATTCCTGAGTCCGAGAGCCCAACACGTCGTTTGTTTTGAGGCAGTTCCTCAAGGACAAGGCTGCCGAGGTGCTTTCAACGCTGACTTGCTCCCTTTCGGTCGAGTGAGAGAGGACTCTAATTGGTGCGTCACCCTCAACCGTAAAGCCCTAACTTAGAGAATATAATATATATATATATATATATATATATATTGTATACTTACACAAATGTATGACGCTCTCAATAGCACCCTTGTTATAGGTTGTTCCTGCATCGGGGAACAAAACCAAACCCTGGAGGCTCGCATGCGCCTCTCCGGAGCCGCAAAGGCAAAGGCTGCCTGAAGCCACCAGCGACCTGTCTTATATATGTATATATATATGTAGCCATATATGTATGTACATCTACATGTACTTGTAGAAAACGCGTGTGTGTGTGTGTGTGTGTGTACGTGTGTATTTGTATATATATATATATATCTATCTGTACATATACATGTTTCCTTTTTATGACCAGCAACCTTGCTAAGGAAGTCGTGTCATATATATATATATATATATATATTTGTTGTGTGTTCACGGTCTTCTGAGGCCTTTGGGCAATATCAGGAGGGCTCCAGGGTCTTAAGACGGATGGTTTAAACCTGATCTTGGAGACAGGCCTGTGCACACAATTGCCATGTAGCATCCGGGCTGAATGCACTGAGCCACGTAAGTACGCAAAAGTCCTTCTCTGGCACCGAGGCACATGCTCGATGTCAGTACCTCATTGAAGAGGAGGCTGGCCGAGGGAACACACAATGCTCAAGACGCGATTCCCCCAAAACATGTTTCCTCAGCCAATATCATGGCCGACATCAGCGCCACTTCGATTTTCGCAACATCGGAGCCATCTCATCATCATCGTCGTCATCATCATCATCATCAAGATCATCTTCACCAGCATCATCACCACCACCACCATCGCCGTCTTCTGCCTGCTCTCCATCCATGCCGCCTCATCGTCGTCTTCGCCGTCGTCATTGACATTGGTGTTGTTTGGACAACGTAGTCTGTTATCACAAATGAAACTGACTTGCTTAGCTGCTTTGCCCTTTGCTCCTTTTCTGCGTCATTCATATGTCTATATAGCTTCGTATCCGTCATTATTCATGGTTCCCAATTCTGAAGTCTTCTTCCTAGCTGGCCGTATGAGTCTCATTCGCAACTTGCCTTCCTGCCTTGCTTATGCAGCCCACCTTTTGATGCGTATCTATCTGATTTTGCCGCAACTGTTTCCAAACAGTGTCCTGGGTACCTTTGTACATGCTGGTGATCACATAATTCATGACCATCCCACCCTATGGCTATGGTTCTTCGTTCTTTGACGAAAGGTGAGATCACGGTTGCCAGAACCCGTACGTGTTGCCCATGTGTGGTATGCTTGTTTGTTGGTTCCTTCCCGAAGAGAGATTGCCGGTTGTCAGTCAACGATCGCTAAGACAACTTGCAGACGCTGTCTTTCTGACATGTGCATTAGACATCGAAGGGTTTGTGCTTTTTGCCAGCAGAAAGCAGGATGGAAACCTTTTCCGTGAGAAGCCCACGCATGTAGTCAAGTTCCGGGGTTGGATGTCATGTCAGTCTAGAGCATTGAACCCCCCGTCAGCCAAAGTGTTGGACCTTCCTCCGTCTTTTATGTGTCCGAACCGGTCGTCTAATTCACCATGGATCCTAAACAGTCCTGAACCCGAAGCCTTGAATCTGAATCCCTAAGCCCCATGAAATGAATCCTAAAGCGTTCAGGAGCTGCACAGGCAGGAGGTCTTTGCAGCTCTTCTGAGAGCTCCCGAGCGCGCTTGGGCTATCTGAGGGGGCAGCGGTGGCGGTGGGTCCAGCTGTCTCCCATTCAACATAGCAAAAATAATAACAGTAATAGCATACGTAGCAGCAGTCGTCGTCGTAGTCGAAGTCGCAGTCGTAGTCGTAGTCGTGGTCGTCGTAGTAGTCGTCGTCGTAGTAGTAGTAGTAGTAGTAGTAGTACTGTAGTAGCAGTAGCAGTAGCAGTAGTAGTAGTAGTAGCAGTAGCAGTAGCAGTAGCAGTAGCAGTAGCACTAGCAGTAGCAGTAGCGGTAGTAGTAGTGCACTCTAAGTACTAATATGTTGTTTTTTCGTAATCGTAACAAACTCAAACCACAGCCGAACAGTTGCCAGCAGTAGTGACATGCACAGCTCAACACAACCTGAGGTCGTGATCATGGTGTTTCTTCAAGAGCGTGCAACAGGTTCGTACTCCTTGCTCATTCATGGCAGATACAAGTGTGACTTACACTTCCCCTTTATATGTATGTATGTATGTCTGTGTTTGTATGCATGTATGCATGTATGTACGTATATGCATATGAACATGCTTATGTATATGTCAATGTACATGCATGTATGCGTGTGTGTACGCTTGTATGCATGTGTGTACGTATATGCATATGCACATGTTTATGTATATGTCAATGTATATGCATGTATGCATGTGTGTACGCTTGTATGCATGTGTGTAATGGTATGGTCGAATGGTATGGCATGGCATGGTATGGTGTGCCCTAGTTGTGCATATGTACGGTATGCATGGTACGTATGGCACGTACGGTACGTATGGTATGTATGGTATGTTCTGGTATGGTATGAAATGGCATGGTATGGTATGGTATATAGGTATGTTGGTATGCTGGTATGTTGGCATGCTGGTATGCTGGCATGCTGGTCTGCTGATGTGCTGGTGTGCTTGTGTGCTGGTGCGCCGGTGTGCGGGTGTGCTGGTGTGCTGGTGTGGTATGGTACGGTATTGTAGGTATGTATGTATGCTGTACATGATTGAGCGTGTGTATGTCTCCTTGTGATCAAGCTTCTTTAAAGCCGAGGTTTGCCGGGCGTAGGCCTTTGTATTGAAATGCTCAGGCGCGGTTCCGGATAGCTCGCCCCGTTTTCCATTTTGCATTCCCCGCCGACGGGCGGCCCACATGGGACAGGTTAGGACCGTCTCATGGGGACTTTGCACCGTGCAGGCCAATTAGCTGACATTAGTCCTGTGTGCATGCAGCCTTGTTTCGCCATCATCAAGGTTCCATTAGATGCCCAAGGCGTGCCAAGACTGCGGCGGGCTGCATGTACTCAGGGAGGCGCGGAGATCACCCGCTTGCTCAGAGCACATCTTTTTCGCCCCGACTGCAGGTTTCCATTCGCTCAATTCGCAACTTTGGGTGTTTTCTGCAAGTGGCGTAGGACCCTTGTTTACACGTACTCCGGACTAAGGACGACAAAAACCTAGGTTCGAAGGTCGTCGTGTCCTTGCCAGGCAGAAACACCTGTGGGGCCTGTTTTGCAAAACCCTCTGCACAGTGCTCGGACGGGCGAGAGGCATGTGGCACTCCTCGGCACGAATCTTCGCATTGCTGCACAGAGTCGAAGCGCGAGAAATATGTCTTCAACAGCCACTCTCAACTGCAAAAGCGAAGCCGCACACCAGGCTGCCATACAATAGCAAAGCGGAAACAACCAATGCTAGTGAACTTTCTGAAACGTCATTACGTGCTACCTGTAGATGTACGCTGTTCAGTATCGGTGACCGTGCAAGATACTTTCCAGAGTTCGGAGCGCCCGTGGATACCTGTTTCGCCCAGCGGGCTGCTCATACCTCGTCATCTCAACGAATTCTCTGCAACATGCAACATTCTCCTGTTCCCTGAACCCGCGACTCGAGACATCTCGAGACTCTAGACTCTAGGATTTGGGACTGCAGTGATTCTGACCTAGGTGTTTTGCTTGCAGCCAGTTTTTCAAGATTCGATTGCCCAAAGCTTCTCATTTTGCATCTCGTGCCGAAACCCGTGGTGAAATCTTGAAGCCCATCAGGGCCATACCTTGTCCCTCAGGTCCTTCGAAATACGCCTGAACTGCAAATCTCCTACGCAAAGGTTCACACTCCTGGCCTTGCCGTGCCCCGCATGACCATGCCGGAGGAGATTGGCAATTTTAGTGTTTTGGGACTTGGAGCTGGGGGTATACCTAATAGGGACACCAGGGCCACATTAATACGAATGGGAAGCTGGCTTTTTGAGTCTCCCTCTATGGAACCACAGCTGCATCGACCTTACAATTCAATGCAGTGTTTTTAGTTGAGGGCGAACAACTGAGCCTTACATTACATAGCCTCAAGCGTTCCCGCTCCGGACAAAGGCCGAGGGCAAGCCTGTACCTTTCTGGAGGCGTGAGTGGTCACCTAAACCGTGAACCCTGAACCCTAAGCCCTGATGAACCTCTCTTGAGTTGTTTGTCTTGGGTCCTTCAGGATGCACCTCGGATGCCTTAAGCCCCAACCCCAGCAGGGATGCGCAGGACTTTCTTGGCCCAAACCCGCACCCGAAGCATCTGCACCCGAGGTATTGAAATTCTCCGCCCACATCCGCCCACCACTAAAATTCGCCCATCCCACTCCCCGAAGCAGAGCACAACCCTAAAACCCGAACAGCTAAATCCAAAACCGCACAGTTCTGGAGCTGGGCGAGCCAGCCCTAAGCTCAAAAAAGAACCCAAGAGCTTTCCTTCAAAGGGGGCCTCCAAAAGCTGTAAGGCCCTAAGCTTTGAACCCGAAACCGCAACAACCCCCAAAACCCCCAACTCTAATCCCCTAAATCCCTAAACCCCTAAGCCCCCTTTTCGAAGACCAAACCGCTCAACCCTTAAAGTCCTTTTTGCCCCAAACCCCACAAAGAGGAGCTGGCGAAGCTCCTTGGGGCCTGGGCGGCGAAGCTCGTGGCGTCGCCGGAGTCTTCGGAGCTCGAGGCCTCGAACCACAAACTGGGCGGCAGCATTTTTTGAATTTTTTTTGTCATACAAAGTTTGTTGTTTAGCATTTTTTGAATGTTTTGTTATATAATACAAAGATTGTTGTTTGACAGGGGTTGTTTGTTTGAACAAATGTCTTCTGTTGGATTCCCAGTTTGTAATAAATGAATGAATGAGGATTCTGATGATGGTTGCTAAAAGTAATGATTTTCCGGGTTGTTACCATTACGATGATGACAGTGGTGGTGATGATTTCGATCACAGTCATCATCATCATCATCATCATTATCATCATCATCATCGTGTGGTTTACCTTTGCTACTATATACAGTTAGGAGTAGTATTACTGCGTTTGTTATTGCAATTTTACCTTGTACCCGTAGATATGTTCATCACCACCACTAAACTAAACTTATTGTTCTCGTTTGTCTTTTCGTGTGGTGATGGCTTTTGTTTCCTGTTGGACCATGCAGAGTCCTCTTGTTATCACTACTACTGCTGCCTGGTTCATAGCCACCTTATTCCCGAAAGTAGCCATGACGATCATTATGTCACTGTGTGGCAGGAACTGGCATGAACAGCTTGGCGTGTTGGTTCGACGTTTTACATTTCCGTGTTTTGGATGTAGTGTTTGACTGAGGATCAGTGATGTTACATTCAAAAGGAGGGTCTCCAAGCAGCACCAGTATGCAGCGATGTTTGGCAGTATACAACAGTCGGTTTCAATTAGACGCCCTCGTCCCCGAAAGCGTCGAAACAGATATGGCCAGACCCAGGACACAGTCAGCAATGAACAGGTTATGACATGAGGTTTACTCACCTCCAAACCTCTAACAGCTGCATGTCAGCTGCGCGCAAATTGGGATACCGTGTCAGGACAGTTGTCGAGTAAGAGCTCGCTGAAACCCCTGACTTAGCACAGGAGACAAATCCCCCTCCCCCACGTGCTCAGCGTCCTGACTAGCCCTTGAAAATGATCTCTACCAAAATGCTTCCTCACCGAACCGTACTCTTCCCGGCGCTTCTTTGCAGGGCCCCTCCCCATTGGCAGCCAAAGGTGAGGCCGTGGAGGCCTGGACATAACGATAGAGTCATTCTGAATATGAGAGACATGCCGACACAGCCAAGTCTGCAAAAGATGAGCATGTGCGGCAACACACAGCGTCAGACCGGTGTTTATGAAGAACTGCGAGAACTGCGAGAGGGCAGAGACCTAGAACCTGGACTACAAAATACTCGGCAAGGAAGTTGTACGAGCACAAACATCTACATGCGCCTGTATGGATCAAACATGGCCGAGGGAAGTAGACCAGCGCACGCATGAACAGACGAGAATATGTACACATTCAGTGCATGTGCATATTACATACACATATCGAATATATATGTATGTATGTATATACATGTGTATATATATATATATATACACATACTTTCATATTGGCTATCCAGCTGCCGCTCAGACACTCATCGCAGAGGTCTCGCTTCATTTCGAACGCCCCGTATGCCGCCCAGGGCACACTGTCTCCCAGGGCACACTGCTTCCTCCTCACCAACCGGTCCTGATCAATGAAGAAAGAAAAGGCCGAAGGCGCAGGTGATGGTGACCTCCAGCATGATGGTCGGGCTCTTCTGATGTGGATTTCAAACCTTAAGCCATGGGGGTTTACAGCCGCGCCTTTGCCGATCCGTTGTAGGGCATCGACGCCGTGGCCGGTGCCCTGGAAGCCGTTTCCTGGCTGCATGAGGAGAGAGTAACTAAGACATCGAGGTGTGAAGAGGTGATCGAAGTCTGATTGTGCCTCACCTGGCCTGCATCGCAGAGGCGTAGCCTCGAGCTGGGTTCCTTTTCCAAAGGCACAAGGCTTTCCCGGGTCTAGGCTATCATAGGGATCCCGAACGAATTCACATGGCCTGCTGTCTATGGAAAAGTCCACGAGAGCCAGGTGCACCGGACGATCCACAGATGTCGAACCCTAGGACCTCCAAGATCGGAAGTGGATTCAGCTTCGGCTTGCTATGGGGTCTTGTTGTGTTTGAGGCTTTTGGAACTTGGTGTGGGTGCCTCTCTCTCAAGGAAAAGCTGTCATGCGAATCCTGGATAGTGCGGAAACCGTGACAGGAATAGTCTCTGCAGAAGAGTTGGCAGCCCTTTGCCGACCTTCCCTGTGCCTTGGCCAAAGTCAGAAACTATTGGTTTTCCCCAAACCTGTCAGATCGAGTGTCAGATGGCTTTCCCTTCGCAATTGCTATCCCAAGCCTCAAGCTCGGAAGAGAGCGCTTAATTAGCTGCTTGGTACCTCCCCCAGCTCTACAATCTGTTGAATCATTGTCGCTTCCAGGGTCCCCGTCAAGCAAGCTACTTTGCCATACTTTTCCAACAGGTACCTTGTCGGGAGTTTCGTTTGGAACCACCTCGCAGGTATCTCCAAGTGGAGGTTGCCTTCTCGCCTCTCGCTGACTTGGAGGCTCCGGTGCAGCTTGTCCACAAAGGGTGAAGTGCTTGCGCGCTACAGCCCACAGAGTGACCAGTTGTTTGATGGTTCACTGTTTTGCCACGATCTTCGAGCACCAAATTGGCGATCTCGTCACTGTTCGTCTTGTGGCTTTGGTGTGACAAAAGTGAGTCCTCCAACCGTGGCCAGCTGTTCTTCTGCATTGTTCGACTGGTTCCGGCAGCTGCCGGCTGTGGGTGAAAGGTGCTCAAGCACTCGCAACAAGGATGGCAGAGATGGGCTCCAGCCGACCTGACCCATCTTCGGAGCCGCCACCTCTTCATTCGTCAAGACACCCCGGCATGCTCATGAGAGTTGTGCAAGTGGTGTCATTGGCTGCACAAAGCTTGAACCAGCCTCTAGGCCCCAAGACGGCCGAAGTAAGAAAGGCATATCTCCTAGCGTATCTAGCGCTTGGCCGTTTCGCAGGGCGAGCTCACGGACACCGGGCTCCTATCCCTCGTGGACCTCCCGAGCCCAGACACCGAGACGCTTTGGGAGACGCAGGACCGAACATGAAGACTCGATATCGCTGCACCCCGTCTCGTGTCCTAGGCTTTGAAGCTATTCTGATCTGCAGAGCCGGTGCTTGGCACAGCAGCTGCACTTCAGACCGGAGGGAATTGGTTGTGCAGGATGCCCAGGCACTCTGCCGCGCAGCCTTGCGCGAGGCAGATGGTGCACTGGCATCGCACTCAGGACTCAGGGAAATTGTTGCTCTCAAGTTTGACAGCATCCGGGCATAAGATACTAGGACGTACAGGCAAAGACCTCGACGGTCTCGCGTCCCCTGCCTTTGCATTGTGGCAAAGGTTGTCATCGATGCCTCAAAGTATGAAGTCCCGCTGGAAGCTTGGATGGAAGCATGATAAGTCGGCGGAGTTGAAACTGTTCTTCCAATGCCAGCTCCTGTTCGCTTCCGGGAAAGCGACTTTCCCCGAAAAATGCACACTCCACACTTGGATTGGACTGAGCTACCTCTTTCAGGTAAGCTGGTCCTCAGAAACATCGTTCAACGTCCCAAGAACGGACCACCTCACCTAAACACGGATCCAGGCAGTGGATGGGCGGCTTGCTGCGAGAGGCGTTTGCCCAGGACTTGGCCTTTGGGCGCTGTCACGAATGGAATCTTGAACGATGGGGCGTGCCAGCATGCGCAGTGCGCCCGATTCTTCTGAATCTCTTGCATGGTGATGTCGCACGAGAGCAGACGCACTAATACAACCGCTTAGGGATCACACCAGGAAACAGGCGGCCTGCGTCGCGACGATGCTTGGATCGTTGCCAACCGCATCGATCAGCTCCCAGAATTCTTCTGCAAGGACCGGCTGCTTCAATTAGCAGTTTTTCAGATTGCTCTAGCACCCCTGATAGCTAAAGCACCCCGGGTGTCGGGAATGGAATCTACAGGGTCTGGAAGCCCCATGCCTCTCGAACGCCTTTCATGAAAGATTGCACAAGTGGCAGTCGAAAGGACGAGGGCAGAGGTACAGTTTAAGGTTGGTTCGCGTGCAGTCATCCTCCGGCCTACATTTCGGAATCGTCGTGTGCCTATGGGCTTCATGGTTCTGCTGCTTAGGCCATACAGTGACATGCAGCCCTAAACTCTGGACGGCGCGCTTGTGCAGGACGGGCCAAAGGATGTCTGCAAGAAGGTCTCGCAACGACAGTACCGCAACCACAAGGACGTGATCGTTTCGGAGGACTGAAGCTTCGGTGCCTTGTAGAGGCCTTGCCTCACTGGACGTGAGTGGGCTTGAGTTATATCATGATCCAGCTGCAGAGGGCCAAGCTTTCCCAAGCTGCTGTCTCTCTTTCATGCTTGACCGGTCAGGATCACGTTATCCCGATCTCCGCGCGGCTGTCGCTGCTAGCTATGTATGGCAGAGAGAAGGCACGCTGCAATGCAGCATGCGGGGTCAGCGCGAAACCGCAGAGCTCCCGAAGAGATCCCGAAGCCATGAAGTGATGATTTCGAGTCTCGGGCATACCTTTGGTTGTGAATCAATTTCTGGTCTGCTGGCACCGGGGGTAGAATGGGAGGGTCATGTCGAACTCGGCTTCCTTTTCTATGACGACCTGTCGTTGTGATAGGGTAATAGGGTCTTTTGCTTTGAGAGGGCTAAAGCAATGCCGACGCTACCGGAGAGAGTCATGATGGAACACAGCATCAGCAACCACAAAGCGAAGCAAACCACTCTGGCAAAAGTAGCGTCAAGAGATCATACAACGAACCAATACTGTCGAGTGAAGAAGCACGCTGTACTCTGTACCTGACTGGAAGAAGTCAGTAGCGTCACACGCACATCCATTCTGAATGACGTTTGCTATTCCCTTCAGCAGTGCTCAATGGTGTCATGCGAGTGCAGCACTAGCATCAGAGCCACACAAAGGACACGACACACACACACACACAACATGGTGCCAGCCCAACTTATACACGGAACAAAGAATTGTCAAGCAGGCGGTGAGTGTAATGGTCGCCAGTATATTGAGTACTCTCACAACGACAGCGCTCGGCATCAGGATGCAGGACCATATTGAGGACGGAGTAGAGCCAGAACAGCTTCGGGCAAAGGAGGTGCTAAGTGCGACAGCCCTTTTTGCAAGATCGCAGCGTGTGCCTTAAAAGAGTGTGGTAACAGTGGTAACGAACCACTGTTCAACATGAAAGCCCCCGGGAGGTTCGCGAGCCCTTGTCTGCACAGCTCGTATCACGCTTCGATCGGCAACCATGGTTTGGCACCCAGCCGGCCTTTCGGGTTTACGGCGTTTTACGGTTCATGTGTGCCTTCGGTGGTTTGGGGTCAAGAGATGGCAAGTACGGAGCTGGAGAAGCGAATACAAGCGAATACAACGAAAGGATTGCGTGGTTCGGTGAATGGGGTTGAAGGAGTTTGAGCTGTGGCCTGGTGGTCTGATGGTGTTGAGGTATATGTCAACATTGGGCAGTAGCAGGTATTCTGTTGCACAGGCCCTCTGTTTGGTGGCCGTCTTACGGGTCTCGGTGGACATGCTCAAACTTGTGTGTGATGTCCGAGCAGGAAACACGTCGGCTCTGTTTCGAAGTCCTCGTTGCAGGTTTGCCCAGCTTTGCTCGCTGATCTTCGGCATCCAGTGGATGAGCAAAGCCCGGATCTGAGAGTTGGGATATGATACACCGACATGATGCATTCCATTACGTGGACAGGCGTGTTATTATTGTTGCACACGACTTGAGCTGTTTTTTTTGCTATTTTCCGTAACAACAGAAGGACATCGGGAGTCAGTAGGCTGTTTACGTAGCATTGCGTAGCAATTACTCTACAGTAAGGCTTCGGAATTGCTTTGCAAAGGTCCAAGACTTGGAGCAAACTAAATGGTCGCCCCCTCAGTTTGCTTCGTGCTCCCCAAGCCATGGTTTGGAGCATCGTGACGATTTATACGAGGCTTTGACAAAGGTTTCCTTGATAAAGCTGATGTGGGTTGCAATGATGATGGTTTCCTATGGCTTTACATAGATCCTGGAAGAAGGTCCTTCTTCGGACCCGCGATTTGCACAGGAATCCCTACTGCTCGTATCACAAGCCACCATTCCCTTTGACTATGCAAGTCGTCGCTCCCGGGCGGGGTGTAGAGTGCCATGACCCTAAGTCGCTTTAGGATCTAAGTCGCGGAGGCGAAACTCCATGCGAGAGCTGCACCTCATGGGACAGGCGCGGAGACAGCGGTGTTTGAACTTTGGCTGCGGGTTCTAGGAGCTTGTGATCTGCGTGTAGCAATATCAGCTCCAGAGAGACCAAGGAACCATGTATGTGGTATTTCATGAAAGCTGCACTCCTCAAGGCTGCTGTGCCCAAAAGACGAAGCATCGCAGGTGACTGGGCCTTTGGCAACCAGCGTTCTGAAGACGGCCAGCCTTTCTTTGTTTGTGCTCTTTCTGCGGAGACAGTGACATATCTTCTGGGGTTTGAGTTTTCGATCGAATGGCCTGGCAGAAATCTGCCGAAGGAAGTCGAGGTTTCTGTGTCCGCATGAAGCGGTGGTTTGGATCTTTCATATGCGCGCTTGGCACGATAGCAGTTTCGACATTACCTGTTGTTGGGCCGCAGTCAACAGGCCAAGCAACCAGACTTGACTGCTCTTTCTGGCACCTGCATTGGGTAATTTGTTTGATTCAACATCAAACCGCCGGCCCCCACGTTAAGAACCTCGGCCGCCGACGAAGTCTTCAAAGGAAGCGAACACCAAATCCGCAGGCCTATGTGAAGATGCTTCCCCATTCTGTCGAACGTGTCATGCTGGAGCTTTCGCTCCTCGTCTCGCCGGGCACTTGCAATGGCTCCCAAAACTGCCGCACCCGCTCTGCAACTTGAAGACTTTCGGGCCACAAAGGCCGTAGCTTCTTCCCTTGTCCTGCACCCAAGACCTAAGAAGTAAGAAGGTCGAGTTGGCATCTTGTGTTATGAAAAATTTCTCTTGCACACTCGCCATGTCGGGCCTCTCGCCCAAAGGGCTGGAACGTTTCTCGCCGCAGAGTCTTCGGATTCAGCTTGAGGTCTTTTTGCTCTGCCCTTCACAACTTGGATGGCACGTCTGCCACGATCAATGCCGGCGCCTCATTTTTACGGCACAGCAGTAACTGGTACTGGCTGTGCAGCGGGACTTCCAAGCTGTGCCGTGCGCCGGTTAGTCTCAACTTCGCCATGGAGTCAGCTTCAAGTAGGGAGCAGGGAGCAGCCGAACAACAAAACAACGCTTTCTATTTTTGCGACCAGCTCCAAGTCCTTGCGTGGCAAGGAACAAATCGAGGCCTGCGCTTCACATGCAGCGCTAGTTAGCTGTCACTAGCTGCAAGAGGCGGGTCTGAGTCTTTGCGCCCTTGTCCGCCATGGGACCACCTGTCAAGCAGCCACAATGGCTCCTGGGACAGCGGTTATCATAGTTATCTTTTTCGTGCATTGACATGGCTGATCTGACTGCGCACCTTTCGTGTACCAGATCTTGGCTGATTTTGTGCGAAGCCCTTCCAGACTGCTTGCTAATTACCGTCGATGACAGTGTCCAAACATCTCCAACTTTTTCAACATTCGCGTCTTCTGAATTCATTGTTCATTAGCTTCATGTTGCTTCCTCACATGTCTGCAACAGTTGCGCCCCGCCAAGCTCGGAGTGTGCCAGCAACTTTGCCTGACGAGGATGGTGCCGCATGAAAGAGAGCTCTACCACGCTGCTATCCACAACGACTGGAAATCCGACACGCGGCAGCTTTGGACGGCTCAGGGGAGTCAGAGCAGACTTCCCTAGATTCGACTTGCTGTAGCAACTGCAGCAGTTACCACTGGGCTTTGTTTGTTACCTATATATTGTACTTGTATGTAAGTAGGTAAATACAATCAAGTAAATTACGATGAAGCAAGTAAGTATGTAGGTATGCATGCATGCATGCGAGAATGTACGTATCTACGCATGAACAAATTGCAGCAGGACTTTGAAGGTATGTGCCTTCGGCAGCTAGGTAGCGAAAAAGAACAAGGAAAAACGTGTCGTTCTCGAGCATAGTGCACGGACAAAAGTTGCCCGATGTTGTCACCAACTGCCAGTATCGCCGGCATCTGCATACCATTTAACTTTATGAGCGACTCCTACTGCGGAGTGGCGAAGGCAAAGACATAAGATAGAACTCGGAAACTGGACCTGCTGTTGCTAAAGAAAAGTACAGAAGGTGAGGCGGCTTGTGCAGCATGGCCTGCGCATGGACTCAAAGGCAGCGGAGCAGGCACAATGGTTGTGGGCTGGGGTTTCTGATAATCGTGCGCATTTGCCCTGTAGATCTGTCTGGGTTCGCTTAGTCAGAGCGTCGGTTCGCCAACTGCATAATGAAGCTTTCTGCAAACGCAAAGCCTTCACCTTCGCCATGACGATCCTTTGAATGTGTCGATCCGGAGATTCTACTGCCAGACACTCTTGTCAAGGAGTGCCGCACATGGCAGAGAACCGGTGGTATTTGTAATACTGTAGTATATATTGTATGTATATATGTATATATATATATATATATATTTCTATTTGTACAGATAGATAGACAGCTTGCTTTCGACTTGGCTCAGCGGTGTGTGCTGTCGCTGTCGTCCAGAAGCCTCGGCACCCTAAACCCTAGGTTTAGGTAGTACTATTTGAGAGACCCCTTAAAGGGTACCCCTTCTGCACCCTACTTCTGGCTCTCTTAATAGGGACCTTATTGGGAGGGTCTTTGTCCGCAAGGGTCCCCTTAATCCTAACTCCCAAAACCGTGCCGAACCCTGCCGCCAGATGCTCCTGCTCTCAGCGAGCCGCGACCGGCATCTGGACATGCAGATGATTTAGGGACCCAAAAAAGGACATGAGCAGAAGCAGTTTATAGGGATATCCCTACCTTAATGGGCTTCATTATAAGGAGGTTTGTATGGGATATCCCTATCCTACAGATGAGCATGGATGAATGTGGTTTTTTCAGAAAATAAGGGACCCTGATATTGTACCCTAAACAGTAGGATCCGTATTATAGGGACCCCGAAACACGGTACCCACTGCTTTTGGAAACTCCCACCTAGCTCCGGGTCTTCAGTGCAAAATCTAGGATTCTTGAGGGGATACGCCTTGTGCTTTGAATGCGAGCTTGGGGTCTGCTTTTTTCCGTTTTTGGAAATCTGTGGCCCGAAGCTTTGTGGAAGGCTTGCCGGCTTGCCCATGGAATCTGTTGAAACAGATATGCAGATGACACCTAGGTGGGAGCCAGTCCGGATAATCGTAGAAGGCGGCTGTGCCGCTTGGACTACCGATTCCGGCATTGGTCCACCATTTTCTGCATGGGGACGGTAGGTCAAGACAAGCGCAGTTGCATAGCTTCTGGTGGAGCTTCTCACAGGCTTTGGTGCACTAAGCTACTCATTGGGTTTTGCAGTAGATACAAAATGCCAGATTCGGGTGTGTGCGTCAAGATTCTGAAATCAAGCCGAGAAGTTTCGCCAGAATTGCAAGTCGCAGCTGCTAGTATTGGTAGTATTATAGTTTTATTGTAGTATTATAGTATTAGTATTAGTAGTATTCCTAGTCTGCATGCCCGAGCATCATTTGTGCAGCGAAGTTTTTCTGCGCCATCACTCGGCCCCAGCTCTCCCTCGCATCCGGATCTGAATTAACACCTACTCAAAGGGGAAAAGGAGGGACCCTTAATGGGGACCCCTACCCTATAATGGGCTACATAATGGGTATATGATAGCTATATTATATAAGGGTATATACCGTCCTTCCTTTTACCCTTGGACTTACAGGTATCGTGCTATTCCATTGTGGCCCCGACTTGCAAAGCAGACCTCGGCCCTCCTCACTTCCAGAACTCCTATTCTAAATAGCAGGTGGTTGATTCGACCTTACTATAGGGGCCTAAATCATTACCTACACTATTTTAGGGCTTCTTATTATGATCATAGTATAATGGGCCACCAAACCTTATTCTAGGTTCTTATTATGATCATAGTATGATGGGCCCCCATACCCTATTCTAACTATTCAGGCCCCTTATAGTAAGCCCCTGCCAGAGCCCGGCCGAAGGCTTCTCCCCAAACCCTAAACCTCGCACCTTTTTAGGGATCCTTATTGTGGTTTCCTTATATAATTATAAGTCCTTAAAAGGTAGGGTATTCAGGCCTGCGCATGACTTCGCTTGGTAGTTCTTTCAGCTTTGAGGCGTCAGAAGCCACGAGTTTCGGTCTGCGGCAGGATACTGGAAGTATATCACATGGTGCCGCAGCATCCTACCCTCAGAAACCTAAGAGTTTCAGAAAGGAGGGATCCTAGTGAAGCCGCCTACAACAGTTGACTCCTTCTCAAAGGGGCCCCCTAACAAAGAACCCTAAACCCTACTATGGCGGGTGGTGGCCATGGAGGAAGGTGTCAGGTGAGTGAGGGCTTCTTTCTAGTGCAGGCCCCCGCAGGCTCTGTCCTCGCTCTTCGGAAAGAGGCTCATTGCACCCATAATTAAACCCTAAACCCCTGAACCCTAAACCCTAAATCCCACACCCCAAACCCAAAGCCCCTAAACTCTCTCTCTCACGCATTCGGAAGTCCGGGGCGGTCGCATGCAGGCCAAAAACAGGCAAAGCCTGCAGCCAATTCAAAACTCAAAACCGAAGAAAACAAACCTGCGAGGAGGGTGCACCACCGGGGCGTGCACAACAACCCCGCAGGAAGGCAACCCGATCAGACGGGAAGAGCCCAAACAAGCAGCTCAGGGAGAAGACAGCTGATGGGGAGCCGCGAAAGCCAGAGGTGAGGGCGGATCGGGCAGAGGGCAAGGCAGGAGGGAGGCCCGATTCCAAGGCAAAAGCAACCGAGGAGTTGATGGCACAGCTGTCTGGCAAGAAGAGCAAGACTTCCCAGGAAAATCACTGTACAGATTCGCCAAAGCATCTGTACAGCTCTCAAGTCCAGCCTCCAAGTCATAGTCCGAGCGTCATCCCCGATTGCGCTGCGACTCATTCGAAGGGACATTCCTGTTCCAGCAGGATCAGTTCCACGTCGTCCTCTGTCCGGGTCGTGGACAGATGGCCCTTTGGTTGCAGGCCTTGCTGGAGTACCACATGAGGATTTGCCCACTCCTGCAGCGTTTGCGGGGCAAAGTTGGCAAGCCCCGCCACTCTTTGGTTGAGAAGGTGGGCCAGGGCTACCAAGCCTTGCCTGCATGTAGTTACCAACACTGGCTGCGAGTGTATCATTCCGCCGAGGTGTTGTACCTCTCGACTGACCTGCAGTATGTGGTGGCCCTTGACCTCGTCGGGATGCTCTGCATGTGCACGCAAGGCCTGCCAAAGGGTCTCGGCCTTTTGGTGACACTCTTGGATCTCGTCGGCGCTGGCAGGTTGTCCAGGCAGATGCACCTGTTCCAAGTGCCCCGGAACATCGCCGACCAGATCCGAGCCTTGGACTGTGATGCGCTGAGCCATATTGACCCACGCATGAAACCACGCCTGCTGAGCAAATTGCCAGTCTCGCTCGCCTTGTTCCGCATCTGCAGAAAGTCCAGACGGGACTGCATCCTCTTCCAGGGATCCTGAAGCGACACCTGGGGCGTGATCGCCAGCATCGTCTGCTTTGAATATAGCCGCAGGCTTGTTCATAGTGGGCGATCTGCCCGCGGCCGTCGATAGCCAAGGTGACGGTACATCCGCCTCGCGCAGAACCTCCGTGTGACCATCGGAAGCGATCTTGCCAGTCTTGCGGGGGCTCTTGGAAGGCCTGGTCGAGACCGGATTCGTCATCCTCTTTTGGCCCCATCTCCGGCCCAGGCCTGTGCCAGCCGGGGCCGATGTGTCCAGAGTGTCCGGACTTCGTGCCACCGCCGCGTGCTGGGCGCCAAAGGAGGAGTCCAGGGATGGTATCGAGCTGGCAGGGACGGAAGCAAAACTGCCTTGCTCTACCAGCATGCCTTCTTCTGCATTCCCGAAAAGAGGGAGCACTGCATGCGGCTGCGGTATACTCGATGCTGGCGGGGCGACTGCACCAGCCGCACGCAGCTCCGCAGCCAATCGAAGGACTTCGTGCCCGACCACGGCAGGAATCGCCGGCCCGA